CTCCTAAAACTGATCAGCGGCTGATTCCAGAAAGCCTGGGGCAGAGCACCTCTGCCTCGGGCTTCCTGTAGTCAGCCGCTGGTCAGTTTCAGCAGCGGTTGAATCTGGACGCCAGTTCCGACTTACGTACAAATTCAACTTAAGAACAAACCTACAGTCCCTATCTTGTACGTAACCCGGGGACTGCCTGTATATTAAAATATGGCCTGTAAGTGGCACACATTTTGTTTAATGACTATTCTAGAATCAGTAAACTATAGTACTCCTGCTAGTACAAGTTCAGAAATTGCATACATATGTTTGTATGGATTCTAGACGTGTGGAATGAGAAACTGCAGTCAGTGTGTGTGTGTGTGTGTGTGTGTGTGTGTGTGTGCGCGCGCGCGCATACTCTTCATTTTAATAATCTACCTCATAAACCCCATGGTCTTTCTCTCCCCTCCCCCCATTGCTATCTCTTTGTAAGCAAGGAGTAGTTCTGTAACTCCTCAGAGACTAACAAATATATGGGATCATGAGCTTTTGTGGGTAAAACCCACTTCATCAGACTTCAAACACTCTGGTCATCTGAAGAAGTGGGCTGTGCCCATGAAAGGTCATGATACCATTTATATGTTTTGTTAGTCTTTAAAGTGCTACCAGACCATTTGTTGTTTTGTAAGTTTTTCCTGTTACAGACTAACTCTGCTGCCCCTCTGAAACTTTTGAGTAGTTATGCCATTTTCAGATTTAACCCTTATTAAACAGCTAACTCTAAAAAGCATGCATTCTAAATCTGCATTCAAATGTGTATTTGGGGGGGAAAATATGTTTTAATTGAACCATCAGATTGAAATGGACAGTGTTGTATGGGCAGAACAAATTCTTATGAGATCTCAGGCTCTGGTGCCTGAAAATATTAGGATGCAAGAAAATCTGGCTTTCTATCTTTGAGTGTCCTGAGAGAAGCCTGAGGCTCATTGCTCTTCACAAGTCCAACGTAGTTGGGTTTGCTGATCTTTCTAATACTCTGCAAGGCCTGTCAATTCCAACAAAGGTTATTTTGAAGGGATTTATGGTTATTTATGAGGAGCATATTATTGTGCAACTTATAAAAACTTTTTGTTTTCAAAATATTGTGTTCAAGTAAGAGTGTTTTGGTTTAATGTATTACTACAAATTGAAAGAGATAAAAGTAAATATAGAAAAAAGGAGACTGTGAGAGCCCAGCAGTAATGGAGATAAGGGGGAACAGACTGCAGAAGAGATGAAAGAAGTAATGTGGAAGCAGAGGAGTTGAGTGGGATGTTACCCATAACTCTAGGTACTTCTCTAGAAGGAAGGGGAAAGAGAATTCCATTAAGTCAAAATTGCTGTTTAATGTGCAATAGAATTTTAAGGAAACTTTGTTTATTGTTCTTGGTGTAAGGAGCTGTGGCCTTTTGAGTGATAGCTGTGTTCTTCCAAAAGTTTCCTGTATGATCTTGGGGAAGTCACTTAATTTTTCCTGGGCTTTGTTTCTCCATTTGTAAAATAAGAATAATTATACTTCCTTACCTCAGAGAAGTGTTGTGAGAATAATTTAATTAGTGTTTGAAGTGCTTGGATGCCACAATAATAAACATGGAAAAGTCTGTGCATTTTTAAAACACACTTGTATTGTTAATAAGAGTAAATAATACCCTATCCTTCCTATGCCGTTTACAATTTTTCTTTCTTAACTGTTGGGATAGTAAGAGTATTAACATGATTGCCTGGGCCACATCTGCCAGAGTTAAAGGTGATGATAAAATGTTTTGATTTTTTTTTTAATTCAGAAGTACTATCCCTTCCTTCTGATACAAGTAAAAATAGCTTCTATTGACTCACCTGATGTGCTCAGCCAATCACAAAGAAAAATATCACATGACATTTCCTACATTACCATTCCCAGTAAATACATCTCAGACTTGAAATGCACCAGTACTCAAACTATCCAGATAAAACAATGTTTTGTTCTTGATATCTCTGGCTAATATGTGTATCATGAATTCCAAACAAATTTAAAGGAATTAATAAGTGAATACTTGTTAAAAAATTAGAATCAAAGTTAACGTTTTTCAGAGCCCTAATTGTTAATGCATTTTCAGTGTTTTTTCCTTATGGAGAGGGTATCCATCTGTACTACTACCATAATATCTTGACTCTTACCCCATTTGAAATCACCCTGTTCTCCTTGTGCAGTTTACATATGATAAACATTTTGTACTAGTTTAAATACCTGTAAATATACTGAAAAGGTCATTGGCAGATTTGTCATAGAGCCACAGGATTGGTGCTACACCCCCAGTTTTATAACATCTCTTGGAGAAAACCCTTTGATGATCCAGGCTTTTAAGAGGTCTCACTCTTCCTCCAGTGTAGACCATGCAGCCTTGCCATCTTCCTGAGACTGAATCTCTGGGTGTCAGCATCCATGCTTCACTCTGTGGCTATGTCTACACTGCAAGCTTCTTGCGCAAGCACTGTTTTGCACAAGAGTTCTTGCACAAAAATTCTTGTGCAAGAGCACGTCCACACTTCCATGTGCTTTTGCGCAAGAGCGTCCATGGTAGTGTGGGCGCTCTCTTGTGCAAGAAAGCTCTGATGGCCATTTTAGCCATATGGAGTGCTTGCACAAGAAACTCCTATTGCCCGTCCACACTGCTTTCTTGCACAAGAGCTCTTGCGCAAGAGGGCTTATCCTCGTGGGGAGAGGAATAACTCTTGCGCAAGAAGCCGTCTATTTCGACACTCTACTGTAAATTTACTTGCGCACGAATGCACATGCAGTGTAGACGCTCTGCAAGTTTTTGCACAAGAACAATTGTTCTTGCGCAAGAAGCCTGCAGTGTAGACGTAGCCTCTGAGTAGTGTTTAACAAGGCCATCTGAGACACTCTCCTGGCTAGAAACTTGCACACTCTGGGGATTAATGCACCTCATCAAGCATTTACAGTGACACTCCGCCAGTGTTTTCAAAATGTTAGGGGTTATTGGTCAGTTGGAACACAGCATTGGATGCCCTTAGGTTTTCCTAGAGGTTAAAGAACCTTCTGGGTAGCCCAGAGCGATCCAAATCCAAGCTGTAGTAAACTCTGTTTCCAGTAGCTCTACTTCTCTCTCTTTCTGACTTCAATTGTTAGTCAGGTTTCCAGGTAAGAGAGCTCTCACACTTCTTCCACAGCCAATTTCTCCCTCATCTCATAACTTCTGGTCCTTAGTTCTCAAGCTGGGGTCTCTGTTTTGCTTCTCTCCGTCACTCTGTGAGATATAGGAGCATCATCTCTCTGGATGCCTTGTTGAATTGAATTGGTTTTAACCAATTCCTTAATGACTAATCATTCCACCTGGACAGAGTGCCAGTAGTTGATGTTCTAGAGATTTTGGTGTAACATGTTTTAGTTGGTAATATTTTGAAATCCTTCTAAGTCAGTGGTTCTCAAAGTGTGATCTGTGGACCACTAGTGGTCCCCAACCACCTCTCAGGTGAGCTATGGGCTTGGGGCCTGAATTCCCTCCTCCCCTGCAGCAGAGAGCCTACACTGGTGCTCCAGCCCCACGCCAGCTTCCCACTGCAGAGAGAGAGGGATGAGCCTCGTGGGCCAGATCCGACTTGTGGGGTGAGGAGGAGGTTCTGCACACTACTGCTTCTCCTCCCATAGCTGGGGAACCAGCAGCACAGGAAACTGCTTACCTAGAAGTTTTCCCTGCTACTCCCATTGTCCAGAATCCCAGCCAATAGGAGCAGTGGGGGGTGGTGCCTGGGAGCTGTGGGAAGCACAGAGCCAGGTAAGCATCCCCCATCCTCCATATACCCAGATCCTGCACTCTCAGCCCACTCCTGCACCCAGCCTCCCATCCAGACCCCTCAGCCCATTCCTGCATAAGAACAGAAGAATGGATATACTGGCACAGACCAAGGATCTACCTAGCTTAGTATCCTGGTCGCTGACAGTGGCCAATACCAGATGCCCCAGAGGAGGGAACACAACAGGTAATCATCATGTGATCCCTCTGCTGTCATCCATTTTCAGACAAACAGAAGCTATGGACACCATTCCTACTTACCCTATCTAGCCATTGATGGACCTAACCTCCATGAATCTATCTAAGTCTTTTTTGAACCCTGTTAAAATCCTAGTTGTCGTCATACATCCTGGCCAGACTCCCAGCCCTCCCCCAACCTGTTCCTGCACCCAAACACCCTTCTAGACCCCTTCACTCTCAGCCTGCTGCTGCACCCTACCTCATGGCCAGACCCCGCACCCCCATGCCCTCCTGCACCCATTTTGTCATCATGGGTGGTTGGCTGGTAGTCCATGCAAAGATCTGTGTTGAGTTGGGTGGGCCTCAGGCCAAAAGTTTGAGAACCACTGTTCTAAACTATGCTTTTACTTACTTTGGTCCTGAAAAGGCAACTTTTACTCAAGTATTACTTTAGTTGTTACTGGATGTCTTAACTGTTTGGATGTAGGATTAGCCTTTGTTAGTGTTGTCTGTGATTAAGAGTGACTTCTATTTATTAGTGGCTGAGTGCTGACAGTGTGCATAGTCCTGTACAAAATAAGTTGCTACGTTCATGCAACAATTTCATGTGTTCTGTGAGTATTTTGGTTTGACAATGTGTCCTTATTGAATGTCTTGCAGGTACTGGAGAAAGTGGCAAAAGCACATTCATCAAACAGATGAGAATCATCCATGGATCAGGATACTCTGATGAAGACAAACGGGGCTTCACAAAACTTGTGTATCAGAATATATTTACAGCAATGAAAGCTATGATCAGAGCTATGGATACACTCAAAATCCCATACAAATATGAACACAATAAGGTGAGATTTCTGTTTAAATAGGCTGCTTAATGCTTTCCATTTTTATTTATTAGAGTGTACTTGAAGGGCTTTTAAATTCGTACAGTTGCTTCCTGGCATTTAAGTTATGCTTTACTTAACGTTTGGATGGAAGTATCTTGCAGACAGTAGATTGTATTGAAAGTTGATGCATAGGACCACATCCTGATTCCTGTCTCTCTTCATTTTGCTTGCCTCTGGCCATACAAAGGGGACAGAGCAAGGTATCCAGAGTCTCCTAACATAGCTAGTGTTTTTGGGCTGGCTGGGTGTGTTAAGAGAAGAGTGGAGTTTCTCAGGCGCCAAGATACTCAAACCCACCTTCCTCCCATCCTCCATTCTGTGCAGAGCATGGTTCAGCCAGACCAGGGAATCTGCCCAATGATATTTAAAATATTGCAAAAAAAATAAGGCTTTATAAATAGGGCTAAATTATGATACATTGGTTTGCATCTGTTGCTTTCAAATGTAGTTTCAATACTGCATATATTTTAGAAACTCAAACTAAAATCGAAAAAATGGGAACGAGTGCATCAGTACTATTAGGTCATGCTTATTGATGCAAATTGACAAGCAAACAAATTGAAGTTGATGACATCGCTGAAACTCACACCATTTGTGCTTTATGTGAGATGGGAAAATCTATTCAAGCGTTTGTCAGGTTTCTATAGCTAAACCTGAATTCTTTCTGACCTTTTTTGTATTTACTTTTTTTGAAAGAAAAAGATATTTTAATATTTTTAATCACTTCAGTGAAAGACAGTAAACACTGGGTATTAATCTGACCTTAGGGGAGGTTTCGTGGATAGAAACCATGGTTAGAGAGCAGGACTGACACACAAAAGCTGGAGGTCAAATACATGCATGCAGCTGACACTGACTGCTATGAGAGTTGCATATCTGAATTTTAGAATTTGCCTCTTGGAATCTAATCCTGATTTTGCTACTGGCTCACTATTTAACAATGAGCAAGTTTCTTTTGCAGTTAGGAGGGGTGTTTTTTTGGTAGAGAATAAAATTGAGATGATAATTGCTTACCTTTGGATAGATTTTTAAAGTATTATTTTAAGCTGTAAATACTGGTTTAAGCAATTCTTTCTTTAAAAACAAAAAGCCTGACTTTTTTTATCTAATAGCATCTCTTTGTAACTCCTGGGAATGCTGAAAAACCTTTGGCTACGTCTACACTGGTGCGTTCTCACGCAAAAGCTCTTTTGCGGAAGAGTTCTTCTGCAAAAACTCTTCCAGAAGAGAGCATCTACACTGGCATGTGCTTTTGCACAAGAGCATCCATGCCAGTGTAGACGTTCTCTTGCGCAAGAAATCTCTGATGGCCATTTTAACCATAGGGCTTTCTTGCGCAAGAAATTCATGTTGCCTGTCTACACTGGCCTCTTGCGCAAGAACAGTTGCGCAAAAGAGCTTATTCCTGAGTAGGAGTGTCAGAGTTCTGGCGCAAGAAGCCCTGATTTCATACATTAGAACGTTAGTTTACTTGCCGGTGTAGACAGGCAGCAAGTTTTTGCTCAAGAGCGGCCTCTTTTGCGCAAGATCCCACCAGTGTAGACACAGCCTGCGTGTTTTGCTGCTATAGCAAAGAATCAAGAGATTCTGTAATATCCAAAATCTTCTAGGGGTTTTGTTATCAAACTCTCACCTTTCAGTGATAGTTTCTTTCTTGCAATGTTGGCTAGAAATGGTACTAATTATTTGATTATTTTTTTCTCTGAAATGTGTGCAATACTCTGATTTAGTTACTCAGTTTATTTAATTACTCTGATTTAGTTACTCAGTTCATTGCTGTACAAAAGTGAAAGTAAACTCTTGCCAGTCACTCAGATTTTTTTTGTAATATTTGTTGTTTAAGTATCCAAAACATCAGAGAGCAAGGAGATCCACAGACCTAAAACTCTAACTAGAAACAACCGGATTTAATAAGCTAGTATTGCAGCGTGTTGACGTATATGAGGATTACTTGTTAAAGGTGAACCGGAGATACAACACCCAAAACATCATTGACTTCAGTAATATGGGTATTGAGCCTATTATTAGCTAAAAAGTAGCCTTGTTTTTTCTTTGAGATCCCCGATGTCATGCCAGCTGGTTCTAGCTCTGCTGTAATGTCCCAACAAGCATTATGCTTGTTAGTCTGTAAGGTGCCACAGGACTCCTCGTTGCTTTTGCAGATTCAAACTAACACGGCTACCCCTCTGATACTTAAGCATTATACTGTAATGGCAAAATAATTCTGTTGAGCATGGTGTTGGGCTTTAGGAAGATCAGCAGATCTTATTTTCAAAATCTATTTCAAAATATTATTTGGATAATTCTAGAAGAAGTCTTTGAACAACTGTACAAAATCACAGAAGGCATGATTTATCTGATCTCCATGGTCTGGCTTCATGCTTTACATGTTACAGAATCATAGGGCTGAAAGTGACCTCAAGAGGTCATCGAGTTCAATCCTCTGCCCAAAGCAGGACCAACCCTAAGTCTCTGGCAGCTGTGACATATAACATGATGTCCAGTGAGGTATCATAACAGAGATAGAGCTAATAAATGTTACTTTTAAGGAACTGAAATGAAAAGCATGTTTGCTTTTAAGAGTTAATTGCTACATTTCAGGCCATTCATTATATATAAGTAGGTAGTTGTGAATTACCTCAGATTTTGATCCACATTTTAAAATGTTGGACTATTCCATGCAGTGTGTATTTTTTTTCTTGAAAAGACTGAACAGCCTTGGTATTAATTGTGTATATATTGTATAACATTATATATTTCATGTTGCTGTTATTCCACGGTGCACTCAAATCAGATATGCAGGATTAATGTAAAACATGCTTTTAAATAGTTCAGAATGTTTAATTTGGATGTGGTGTGGCTTGCTAGTGTAGACAAGATCAAACTGTATTTAATCAGAATTTGGAAACTGATTTATGGTAAATCAGAATCTCAGCTTAAGCTAGTTTTTTTTCTTGTACGAGTTTAGTTGCCTGAATAAGTTATGTCTGATGAGTACTGTATAATGAAAGGCACATCCAAGCTTGTGCATTCATGATTATTGAACATTCTCTTATGCAAAATCTGGGTATCTTTAAGGGCCAGATTCTGGTATTCTTAATCTCTCTAAATAGTGACAAGTGGCCGTATGAACTTAGATGGAGCTATGTGTGAAGTAAGGCACTAGACACCATGAATAAGAAAATATGGACCTGATCCTAAATTCCTAGGGACTGTACAATATTTTCTTAAGGATCCCCTTCATATGAAAATATAAGTTGTACTATAGTTGTTTCAAATCATGCCTAATATTAAACAACATGAACTATAAAACGTAAATTTGGTAGATCAAGGTCACTTTAAAACAATGAACTCAGCTCACACTCCACTGTTAGTCTACTGAAAACAAACTCATTACCCTTGCATCCTAAAAAACACAGGAAGGGCACTTCCTATTAACTTGAATCTCATATCAGGAAATCCTATCTCTGGAGAATTTCTTGAAGTTTGAGTAACAGCCTATTTTTAGCTCACCACTTGTTTTTCCCCCTCTGTTTTGTGGTCGTGCTTAAAGATGTGAGAACAGAATGGCCCTTGTTCATTAAATGTTAGAGACTGAGGGTTGGATGTAGAGGGCAGACCAGGGTATTTTTTGTCTTTGAGTTTTGTTTTGTTTTGTTTTGTTCAGGAAGCTCAACATCTGGGGATGTTTTGGACTTAGGCTGTTCCTTCAATTTCAGGTGATGCTAGTGAGGGGAAACAGCTTGCTTTCTTCTCTCTGCAGTGTCTAGCTAAATAGGCATTTGGGACCCACTTATGAAAATCTTGACTTCTAGACTGGATAACAATAATTAGGGCCCTACCAAATTCATAGTCATGCAAAAGATGTCATGGGCCGTGAAATCTGGCCTTTTTGTGTGCTTTTACCGTATACTATACTGATTTTCTGGGAGACCAGTATTTCTCAAATTAAGGTCCTGACTCAAAAGTGAGTTGCAGGAGGATTGCAAGGTTATTTTAGGAGGGTCATGGTATTGCAACCTTTACTTCTGCTCTACCTTCAGAGGTGGGCAACTAGAGAATGGTGGTTGTAATAGTGCCCAGCTCTGAAGGCAGTGCCCTGCCAGGAGTGGTGCAAAAGTAAGGATGGCAGTGCTGTATCCATGTTGTCCATCCTTCTGTACTGTTGCTTTCAGAGCTGGGTGGCCACAGATTGGCGGCTGCTGACTCAGCTCTGAAGGCAGTGGCACAGAAGTAAGAGTGACAATGCCATACCATGCCATCCTTCTGTGCTGCTGCTTGCAGTGGTTCTACCTTGAGAGCTGGATCCCGGCCAACAGCCAGTTCTTTCCAGCTGCCCAGTTCTGAAGGCAATGCTGCTGCCAACAGCTGCGCAGAAGTATGGGTAGCAGTGCCACCGCCCCCATACAATAAATGTGTGTCCCCCAACTTACAGTTATAGTACCATGAAATTTCAGATTTAAATATCTACATTTTTGGGGGAGGACCCTTACAATTATAGTACCATGAAATTTCAGATTTAAATATCTAAAATCATGAAATTTACTATTTTAAAAATCAAAATGGACTGTGAATTTTATAGAGCCCTAACTATGTGTTCTGTGTGGGTCATTTGGAAGAGGCAGCTAATGTAGAATATGACTGCCTACTTCCTAAGCAGTGTTTGTCACAGAATACATATTAGGTCATTTCTTCAGGAACTGAATAGACTTCCTGTTCACTTAACTGATACAATTAAAGATACTGACTCTGATCTGTAAAGCCCTATATTGCAAAGGTCTTGGCTATTTGTAAAACATTGTCATGATGGTGGGAGTCAGCTGAGGACCTCAAGCAAAGTATCTAGAATGAAATGTCAGATTGTGGTAGGAGAGTCTGTCATGCAAGACCTTGACACCAGAATTCTTTCCCCCTGCTACTCGGACAAAATTTGAGTGTTTTTGAGGTTTACGGCATTG